GTGTCCATCCCTTTATGACCACAGTGTACCCATCTTCTGATGGCTACTTCCAGCAGGATAACGCACCATGTCACAAAGCTCACATCATCTCAAACATGACAATGAGTTCACTGTACTCCAATGGCCTCCACAGTCACCAGATCTCAGTCCAATAGAGCACCTTTGGGATGTGCTGGAACGGGAGATTCTCATCATGGATGTGCAGCCGACAAATCTGCAGCAACTGTGTGATGTCATCATGTCAATATGGACCAAAATCCCTGAGGAATGTTTCCAGCACCTTGTTGAATCTGTGACACCAAGAATTAAAAAGGAGGTCCAACCTGGTACGAGCGAGGTGTACCTAATAAAGTGGCCAGTGAGCGTATTTCACAACTTTGTGTACAGTGGGAGACAGTTACCTGATGCAAACCGATTTCTGTGAAATGTCGCAGATAAAGCTCCACATGTAACACTGAACTCCTTCCTGCCACGGTCATGTCTTGTTGTACTGGTTTGTGGCTGCTGCTGAGGCCGTTCCTCCGTCTGTCTTTTGTCATCTGTAATGGACATGTTTAAAGTATGACTAACATGAGGACAGGATACATATCTTCAGTTATTTCTATTATGAGCATAAATGTGTTTTAAGCCTGAATATCACTTTGTAAAAACCAACACCTGTGTCATCTGTGGAACTTTCTTTGCCGCTTGATGAAACCTGGTCTTCCTTGTCATGGTCGCTGTCCTTGTCTTCATCTTCTTCTTCATTAGACACTATGAATTGTTTCAAACAATAAGGATAATCAAAATTAATGCATTTAAAAATAAATTGAAACCGGTGAAATTTAATAATAGTTTGTTAGCTAACAACCAGGTTTGTAAAACATCAAAATCACAATGTAGAGCTTCTTGAATTGATAAGACAGAGGGCTTTGATGTGTATATAATTGTATCATCCGCATAAAGCTGTGTATGGCATTTGGAAAAAATAAGAGGGAGATCATTTATAAATGTTGAGAAGAGGAGGGGTCCTAAGGTGGAACCTTGAGGTACTCCATTTTGTTGAGTAAGCATATTTGATCTGCACCCTCTCAATACAACACATTGTTTTCGATTGTGCAAATATGAATTAAACCACATCAGCGCATGCTGTGAAAGACCAACAGCCTGAAGCTTGTCTAAAAGTAAATAATGGTCAACCATATCAAAGGCTTTGGTTAAATCAATAAATATGGCTCCTGTAAGATTACCATGATCAGATGCAGAAAAAACGTCATTAGTGAATTTCAAGACAGCAGTAGTTGTGGAGTGGTTAGGTCTAAAACCAAATTGATACTGAGAGAGTAAATTATTATCATTAAGATACCGTGATAATTGATTGTGAATTATTTTTTCAAATACTTTGGCAATGGAACGCACAATTGAGATGGGTCTGTAATTGTTGGGATCAAGTCAATCACCGCTCTTAAGGAGAGGTGTAATGCCTACTGATTTCCAAATAACAGGTATTTCACATGTGGACAAAGACAGGTTAAAAAGGTCAGCCAAAGGATAAATGAGAATATGACATGCTAGTTTGATGAATTTAGATTCAGTCCCATCAAGCCCAGGACCACTGCTCTCTTTTAAATCACAAATAGCCTTACGGACATCATTAGGAGATATTACATGAAAATTAAAAGAACTTTGTGATATGGTATGTGAGGTAATATGAGCAGTATTAGGAATTAAATTAGAGCACACAGAGGAAAAATGCTGATTAAAAGCATAAGTAATAGATAAAGGTTCATTTATTATTCTATCAGCAATTTTTAATTGACTGACGGAACATTTATTAGATGTAAGTAATATATTTTTGATATTTTTCCAAAATTGTTTGGGATTTTTAAAACTATTACTTAGACAATCTTTAAAATAATTAGACTTTGCATTCCGAACTTGAGTTTTGCTGATATTTCTTAGTTGCCTATATGCTTCCCAATCAGTATGTGTCCTTGTTGCCTGAAATTTTGCCCATGCTTTATCCCTTTGCCTGAAGAGGTGTATTAGTTCAGAGGTGATCCAGGGCAAATGATTACCCTTGACTTTTGACTGTTTCCAAGGGGCATGTTTATCAACAACTTCGGTAAATTCAGAAAGAAAAAAATCCCAAGCACTTTGAACATCGGGTATTAACTGAAATCTATCTGAGTTAAATTGTGAATCAACTTGTCTGGTCCATTTTCTTGTACTGTCTAATATTCACCAATTTAGGTGATGATCTTGGAATTTTTATCTTCCAAACACAGTAAACTGCTGAATGATCACTAAGACATTCAGACAATACACCAGCGTTTGTAATTCTGTTTGGATGAGATACAAGTATCCAATCAAGCAAAGACTGAGAGGTGGGAGTGATTCTAGTGGGTTCATTAATTAGTTGTGTTAGATTTAAATTAGAAAAAAACTGATTTATCTTTGAGAGAGGACCTATCTGACCAGTTTTTATTAAAATCACCGAGAATAATAATTTCATTATTACAAACAATGGAATTAATGGTAGAGTTCAAGCAACTATAAGACTCAACGGGTGCAGATGGGGGTCTGTATATATTTCCAATTGTAAGATATTTATTCTCATGGAGTATAACATTTACAAAAAGACTCTCAAAATGTTCAGGCTCTACATGAGGAACTATCAGTTCAGACTGTAAGTTTGACATAACATATGTTGCCCCACCACCACCTCTGGTACATCTGTCAGCTCTGTATAATACATAATTAGGTATTGTAATCTGATTGTTTTTATCCGCTCCATTGTCTTTATAAAGTTAACATATCGCACCGTCATTTCAAACTCAACACTTGTTTCAAATTAAAAGCCCCTTATAACCTCAGCTGAGAGAATCCCTCCATTCTCTAAATAGGCTTTTATTCTGAAACATTTGTCAGAACTTCCTGTGGAAGATACAGTAGCTTGACAGTTTACGTATGGCGCTTCAAATGTAGCTCCTGCCATCTGCTGACGCTTTTAGGTGACTACAACAACATGTCGGCTGGCACATGAACAGACACAGTGACTGAAATAATAGTGAAAGTAATAAAAATAGGACAAGAATAACCCGATGACATCACACACGCCGTGAAAGATAACCGGGGATAATTGGTGAGTACCAGCGTGTAGCGTGTACCAGGCATAATGCAAGTCCTGAGTCTGAAATATGTCTGTCAGCGAGTCCTCCTCCACCTATTTAGACTCCACCGTAGACAACGGCAGCATTTCTCCGACCACGTAGCGAGCCACAAGCTCCGTGGCTTCTTTCAGACTGATAGGTTTAACGTTATCTCCGTTATTAGAACCAAACGACAGTCGTTGCTGTTTCGGAGCTGAAGGACCAGCGTTCTAAAAGTAATGGAAGTAACTGATGTCTTGTTTGAAAATGTACTTAAGTATTTGATTACTCAAACAGCAAACTAACGTGTTAGGTTACTCGTTACTGCAAAAAGTAATCAAAGTACTCTAA